AAGCAAAATTAGTCAGAGAAAGACAAAAATCATATGACTTCACCATATGGGGACATTAAGATACAAACAGATGAACATAAGGGAAGGGAAGGGAAGCAAAAATAATATAAAAACAGGGAAGGTGACAAAACATAAGAGACTCTTAAATATGTAGAATAAACAGAGGGTTACTGGAGGGGTTGTGGGAGGGGGGATGGGCTAAATAGGTAAGGGGCATTAAGGAATCTACTCCTGAAATCACTGTTGTACTATACACTAACTTGGATGTAAATTTTTAAAAAATTACTTAAATAAAAATACAAAAAAAAAAGAAATTATTTTGTTTGGTTGGTTTATTTTTAAATGAGGAAAAAGCCCACTTTATTAATGAAAAGTAAAGGCACTATCTTGAAATGTCTTACAAAGTTGGAAGAAAATAATTCACTAGTACAAAAAACTGCGTCTGTGGTCAACTTCTTATTAACACTTTCATATTCTAAGCATTTCATCAAATAAACCACTTCACTCTTACAAAATCCATTTCAAGTCACTGTTCTTTTGACTATAATTATAAATCCATTCTACCTTAAACAAAAGTAACATGAAATGTGAGGAAGCTACTTATTTTACTATACCTCATCTAATATAACAAGTCAACAAAAATGTTTGATTTTAATAATGATGTTACGTTTTACCACTTAACATATGTAATCAGTACAGCTATTACTTAGTTTCAATTCAATAAACATTTTTAAAAATATCAATGTCCTATGGATGCTTTAAACAAAAAAATACTCCCATATTCTCATAGAATAATCAAAATATCAATGAACTTAAGAAGTCTATAAACCTAATTACTATTTAAAAGAAATTAGCATTAACAGTATTGATCAAAAATTATTTAAGATTTATGGCAGGGGTTCTCAACTTTGGTTATTATTAGAATCACTTGGGAGAGTGTAAAACCACCAATGCCTGGGCTTCACTCCCAGATCCTATTTTAATTGGTCTGAGATGGGAACCAAGTATCAGTACTCATAAAACAAGACAAACAAACAGTGGTAAACTGAATTAAGCATATAGCAGATTTGAGAAGTAGCAACTCATGGTATGCTATGGTATTCTTCAGTTTTAAGATAAAAAAAAAAACAAAAAAAACTTGCTCACTGGTACCAAAAGTTTTAAGCCTACTAAAAACTTAAGGTATAGAAAACAAAGAGAATGAAAAGAAAAAGACAATGTTCAAAAAGATAATCAAGTCCTAGCAAACATTTTTGCCTTTAAAAATGTTAAAGTTTGGGGGGCACCTGGTTGGCTCAGTCAGTTGAGCATCCAACTCTAGATTTCAGCTCAGGTCATGATCCCAGAGTTGTGGGATAGAGCTCCACATCAGGCTCTAAACTGAGCATGAAGCCTGCTTAAGATTCTCTCTCTCTCCCTCTGCCCCTCTCCCCTGCTTGCATTCTCTCTCTCTCTCTCTCTCTCTCTCAAAAAAGAAAAAGAAAAAGAGAGAAAGAGAAAGAGAGAGAAAGGAAAAGGAAAAGGAAAAGAAAAGGAAAAGGAAAAGGAAAAGGAAAGGAAAAAAAAAAAACAAAGAAGGCACCTGGGTGGTTTGTCTGACCCTTGATTTTGGCTCAGGTCATAATCTCACGGTTGGTGAGATTTGAGCCTCACATGGGGCTCCATACTGACAGCTTGGGATTCTCTCTCTGCCATGCATGTGCTCTCTCTCTCTCTAAATAAATAAAACAAGCTGGCAGGAAGTAAAAGCCTGGGTGCAAGCATGGTCCCAGTTCAGCATCCGACTTCAGCCAGGAGTCCACGATCCTCATGATCGATGACTTTCCAGAGAGCCCCGCGTGAGGAGCTCTGGGCTGATAATCAGCTTGCAGACTGGAGCCTGTTTCAATTCTTACCATGTCTCCTACTCTCTCTGCCCCTCCCCGGTTGTGCTCTGTCTCTCTCAACAATACCCAAAAATAAAAACAAGCATTGAAAAAAAAAAAAATTAAAAAAAAAAAATAAATAAACAAACAACAAAACAAACATTCAAATTTAATACCATATAAATATAGTAAATTAATATAGTACCGGAATCAAATTAGACAAAATGATAGTCACTTTAATAACATTTTCTAACCTCAATACCACACAGAACAGCATTTCTTTAAACCACTTTTCAGTATCTTCAATTCTCAAGTATCTCAAAACAGAAAAATTCATTTTAAGAAAATAAAAATTACATGGTTTCAATGTGAGTAGAAAGAATAAACCAGTATGGAATATTTCCCTTGTGAAAGTAGCACAGACATCTGCATGATCAGCCTACAATACTCCCTTTAAAACAGGATCCAAAGAAGTTAATGCCTCTGGATGATGATATTAAAAAAAGTTCTTTTAACTGTAAGTATTTGTCATTTTAGCATACTTTCATAGAATTCAGTTTTTCTCTAATAACAGCTAAAGTGTATGAAAATTACGAGCAACATGAGCCACCATGAAGGGATAAATAAAGATCACCAGAACTTCCAATACCTGTCAAAATATGTTTGTTACAAAATGGATGGTAAAACTTAGAAAGAAAAGGAAAAGAAAAGAAAAGAAAAGGCGAACTAAAGATAAGTAGCATGACCTTGAGAATAAAATTAAAAGAACCAATAGTAGAGCAAATTAAACAGAATGAAGAAATCAGTTAAACTTCCATGTAATTTCATTTTTATTACATTCTTAAAATCCTTTGAGATGTACCTTTAAGACACATAAAATAGGAAATAATAACCCAATAGAGAACTAAACATTGTGATAAATCTTCAGTGTTTTCCATTAAACATTAGAAAATTAAATATATTAAATATATTATAATCCAAAATTCAGTGACATATTATAAAACTAATAATACCTAAGTGCCAATACCCTGGTAAAGATTTCAAGATGTTAAAGGAAGCACATTTTGAATTCAGAATGGCTGGAGATGAAAGATGTAAATTTCTATGTCATTAAAGAAATGAGATTTTTAATTATAGATCTATAGTTTTATTAAATAACTTCAGCATCTGTCACATGTTGTAAAAATAAGCCTCCAAAAGTTTGTCACTAGAATGACTTCATAGAATTTCAGTTTGGTATCTCATAAAACATATTAATCTGTACACACTCTAGATTATTCTTGGCATATACTTTTTTTTTCAAATATTTATTTACTTATGTTTTTATATATATAATTTATTGTCAAATTGGTTTCCATACAACACCAAGTGCTCATCCAACAGGTGCCCTCCTCAATGCCCATCACCCACTTTCCCCTCTCCCCCACCCTCCCATCAACCCTCAGTTTGTTCTCAGTATTTAAGAGTCTCTTATGGTTTGCCTCCTTCCCTTCTGTAACTTCCCCTCCCCTCCCCATGGTCTTCTGTTAAGTTTCTGAGGATCCACGTATGAGTGAAAACATATGGTATCTGTCTTTCTCTGACTGACTTATTTCACTTAGCATAACACTCTCCAGTTCCATCCATGCTGCTACAAATGGACAGATCTCATTCTTTCTCATTGCTTGGCATATACTTTTTTACATACATCTCTTCTGAAAAATGTGGTATAAAATCTTAAAAGATTACTCAGCCTCAGAGGGAACACTCCCTCAAGAAACTGTTGAATTAGTTCAGTTATTTAATGACACAAGAACTCTTATAACTTTAAATTACAACTCTCCAAACCTATCAAAGGTTAAACCCATAAAGAATGAGCTGGTGAGCAGAAGCTGAAGTAACAGAAAAGATCAATAAAGATAATTGGAGAGAGATAACTATTGTCCTTAGGTCAGTGATTTTATGGCAGCCGAGCTGCACACATGCATACATATACATTCTTATATCACTTACACACACATATATGTAGTTTTTTCCTACTAATCCACATCTAAAGACATGGCATAAGTAGAAAGTAAAAACTATGTTGCTTAGACTACTTACGGATTAAGGACTCATAAAGGCTGCTATAAAATACATTGGAGGGAGCAGGAATGACACAAATAAAAACTTTGACTTTAAACCAAACAGATTGTGTATCTGTGATTCACAATGCTGAGGTGATTTAAGAAGATACTAAGAGATCCATCATAGGATAAATGTAAGCTAAACAAACAAAAAAGTTTGATTGAAATATAAAGTAATCATAAAATACATTTTTAAAAAGCATAAAAGATCTATATAATAGGGCTGGATATATTAGTTTTATACTATTCAGTTTAAAATATCTTCCCTTTAAAAGGGGTTTTATGTGACTATAATAGGGATTAATGCATCTTACCCTCCACAGAAGGTGCCTGATCCTGAGCTGAATACAGCATATCCTTGAAAGCCTATTAGAAAAAAGAAAAGTTCATGAAATCACAAGTAATTTTTACACTAAAAGCATTTGAAGCTAAACAATTACCTCTTTTTCAATATCCAGATAATGACTACATGATTCCCTAAATTGAAAATTTAGTAAAATACTTCAATTAACTTTAATAAAGTTAAAACCCAAATATTATACTTTCATATCAATCCAGTATTGTCCAATCTTTAAGAAAATGGCTAATATATACATTTTAAAAATTAAAGGCCATTTGGAAAAGAATGAAAAATCTCCTGAGAGATCATAAACTCTCTTGACTAAAAGAAAATGATGATAGAACAATGGTCCTTGAGAAATACATGGAACACTGCTTAAGAAAATATAAAACACTAGATACAAATTTTTTAAATTATAGTAACATAAATGTAACATAAAATTCAGCATCATTTTCAAGTGAACAATTCACTAGTGTCAACTACATTCATACTGCTATGTAGACAATCTCCAGAATTCTTTTTATCTTAGATACAAATATTCTTCAATGGAGGTTTGGAAAGTCCTCCATATGAGTTACGGGTTTATTTATTTTTTTTCCCAAACCAGTGAATTAGCTACCAACCATATTTAGGTAATTTGGATAGTTGCAGTTTGGTCTCCCAATCAGTGGTCTGGGCCAGGACTGAAAAGTACTTCACTGTACCTATCAAAATAGTAGAATCAATCAAGTGGATAAAGCTCCAGTGCTGACGAGCCATTCATAAACAGGTGGCTTTATCCAGTTCCACAGCTTCAAAGCTTTAAATGCAATCTAACCTTTGGTGGTCACCCAGGTGGCCTCCAGCATTCCTCAACAATTGACATTTGGAGTCAGATAATTTGTTGGGGGCAGGGAGACAGTTCTGTGCACAAGATTTTTAGTACTATCCCTGCCATCTAGAGACCCATTAGACTCATCTAGATACCAATACCAATGTCTCCATCAAAGCTCTGTGACAACCAAAAATGTCTCCAGACACTGCCAAATGTCCCGTGGGACACAAAATCAACATGCCTTGACCCCCTGCCCAGAACCACTGCCCTAGAGTCACTAAAGCATATAAAACCCCCCAAAAGAAGAAATAAACCTTGAGGGTGACCCATTCTGTATTCAAGTCTAGTAAATTGTATTCTTCCCAGGTGAATTTACCATATGCTTTATACCAGTCACCAACCTGTTAGTTCTATTACTAACCAAGCCTGACAAGATACAGTAAAAAAGATTTCCAGTGAAGCAAGGAAAATTAACAACTTTAATTCATTTTTGTTAATTTTAACCTATGTTTTATAAAAATTTTTGTAGGGAAATTATACTTACAAATTTTTAATTTTTTAATGTTTATTTTTGGAAGAGACAGAGAGACAAAGCATGAGTAGGGGAGAGGCAGAGAGGGAGGGAGACAGAATCTGAAACAGGCTCCAGGCTCTGAGCTGTCAGCACAGAGCCCGACGCAGGGCTTATGAGATTATGACCTGAACCAAACTGGAACACTTAACTGATTGAGCCACCCAGGCACCCCTATACTTAAAAATTTTAACATCATACATGTTTAAATCTGTAATATTCAGTAAGATTTACTATATAAAATTTGAGTTACAACAGTAATGTAATTGTGGTATAATAAAAAATATTTGCTGTTTGTTTCAGGTTCCTGGCATAAAGCTCTGAAAACCTTTGGAATCTATTCTTTTGTGTACTAATGAGATAGCTCATGGGGGGTGGGGGAGGAATGGGGAATGGCTCTGATATAGCTTCAGGATGGGGGCTGGTCCCCAGAAAAGCCAACAGCCTGATTAATGTGATTAGAGGGCTAAAACTTTCAGCACCACCCCCAAATCTCTGAGGAAGAGAGAATGGCTGGGGATTGAGTTCAATCACCAATGGCCAAAGATTTGTAGTCAGCCAGACAGAAGTGTGGGTATCCTGGGTACCCCACTTATAGCTGGTATCTCAAGCGAGAGTAGTTTTGTGGGACTATGCCTTTGCCCATGGGGTCTGGATATTTAGTGTCAGAATTGAACTAAGTTACTAGATACCCAGTTGGTGTCAGAAAAAAGAACTGGTCAGAAGTAGTGACAGAAAACATGTAAACAAAAACCTTTTTTACAAAATCTTCATTACTGGGCCACAACTTTTCTAAAATTGCATTTGAAGCTCAGCCTCATCTTTACTGACCACTGATTCTTAAACTTATTTGTGTACAAAAGCCCTGAGTATGACAAAGGTATGGAATTTCTTTTAAGAAAAATTTATATCAATTCATTATATTCTTTACAATTTCAGATGTCTCAGGAACCACTAACTTCTAACCTTAAAAAAAGAAGTTAGTCCAGAAGATTTTATCAAACATCAGAAAGACTTTATGTCAGTGTGGATTAAGATTTTTTAATTTTTTTTTAATGTCTATTTATTTTTGAAGGAGAGACAGAGTGTGAGTGGGGGAGGGATAGACAGAGATGGAGACACAGAATCCGAAGCAGGCTCTAGGCTCTGAGCTGTCAGCACAGAGCCTGATGCGGGGCTCGAACTCACAAACTATGAGATCATGACCTGAGCCGAAGTCAGTCGCTTAACCGACTGAGCCACCCAAGTGCCCCAGTTTGGATTAGAATTTTATATTAAAGTCTTACACAAGTGTAGAGTGGTGGTTATGTTACAGTCTTCCATCAGATATTTTAAGAGAGTAAATTAATAGATTGCTTAGAGCAAAGTAACTCTCTAACTAGAAAAATGTAAGGAACACACACCCAGCCAGAGAATACTTATGGAATTAAATCTATCATAACAGCAGGTAATACTAGAGACTCAAATATCTGAATGAAGTTTTTCTACTTCTGGAGTATAACAGGCATGTATACCAAAATTAAATGATGCTATCAGGAAGCAAATAAACCATTAACGACTAGCATAGTGGCTTCTACACAATAGAAGCTCAATAAATAGTTCTTGAACTCAAAAGTATTTCTTCTTTGGAGAAAATTACTTTAAACATGAACAAAGCACACTGAAAATGCATACCAAGTAGTACCTTAGTGACGAAAATGAATTAAATTTGCAAAAGGAAAGCTTACCAAATTAAGTTTTTAAAAGACAATAAAATTTTATAAAGAGAAAAATGATGATAGCCTTCATTTTGATTGTAAATCTGAGTCACAATTTCATTTCAATCAAAACAATTCTGGGTAAAATCAGAGACAATTATTTTTGCTTCTTACTACTTCAGTTTTCCCTTGAATAAGAGACCTTCTAAGTTTTTTATTGTAATAAGTCTCTAGAGAATTCCATAAACAGGATACCTTTCTATTCCTGTGACAGGAGAATAGCCCCAATTAGGAACTACGAGGGGAAGAGCCTACAAAGTAATGCCTATATTAATTATAACTATAGATTGTTATCTACGATATGAGAGCATTTGCCTAGGTTAGGAGCAGAATCCAAATACACAAAACAACATATTCAAAGAGTTTCCTCGATTTATGCTGTTTTACTTTAAAGAAATCCAGTACTTTATATAAAACTCCGAATTTGTATACTAAAATCAATATACATTCATGTGCATTACAAGAGATTTCTTTGATTTCCAAAGGATTCAAAACAATCTTTTATATCAGCATCTCTAAGGTAATCTGTTAAATTATTTTTGTTAGGTTATAAAATATATTAAAACGAAACTCTGTTAGTGCTTATAAGAACTCATATAACAGTAAAATCTTACAAATTAAATCCAAACACAGCAACAAAACCAATACTATTCAACCAACAACATTAATGTGACAGGAAAAAAAATATGTTTGCTAAAACAAAATCTCAACTGGCAACATGAATACAATGCTGTCATTATACCTGTTCTTCTGAATTTGGAATACCCATATGACTATTAGATGTGATATAATGCTCCTAGTTCCTCTCTCTACTATGAGGGAGCATAATACAGTGACTAGGAGGTATGGAGTCAGACGATGCATATGAAAACCAACTCTACCACTTAAGAGCTGTGTAACCTTGGGAAAATTAACCTCTCTGTATATCAGTGTCTTCATCTGTAAAACAGAGTAATCTCACATACCTCACAGGTCTATTATGAGAATTAAAAACTCTTAGGGGCGCCTGGGTGGCGCAGTCGGTTAAGCGTCCGACTTCAGCCAGGTCACGATCTCGCAGTCCGTGAGTTCGAGCCCCGTGTCAGGCTCTGGGCTGATGGCTCGGAGCCTGGAGCCTGTTTCCGATTCTGTGTCTCCCTCTCTCTCTGCCCCTCCCCTGTTCATGCTCTGTCTCTCTCTGTCCCAAAAATAAATAAAAAAACGTTGAAAAAAAAAAATTAAAAAAAAAAAAACTCTTAAAACACAAATCCTTATATTAATTATAATTCATGATTATAAATGAAGAACACTTAGAACATAAAAGATACTCAAACAATGTTAGCTAATCCTTTGCAAACTACCGCAAAACTTACATCATACAGTGGGCTGTAGCAGCATTTGGCCATCTACTATTTGGACATGAATACATCATTTATGTATTAGATATGCCTCAGTCTTGTAGTAGTAGTACAGTATTCTACCTGGAGCCAACATGACCAAACAAGCATAAACACAGGCACTGTAACTCCCGGCATTTACCAGTTTATAAGATGGTCATCTAGAAGATCTAGACTATGCTATTATATTTTTAGAAAATCACTGTCATAAACATACTATATTTTTAATTCTCATAACCTACAGACTCCTAAGAAAATACATGTAAATCCCAGTTTGCATAGCTTTAAACAAGGTCTCCTAATTATATTACTTAAACTTTCTGTAAGATATATATCTATTGCACAAAATAGGGTATAGTTCAAACCTAACATGTGTGTTCAATAATACTGCCAATACAAATTTCTTATGTTGTTAATTTTTAATAACCCGTAGTAGATCATCATTAATCTCCTTTCCAAAGCACAGGCAATCTCACAGGCCTTTCCACAAACTCAGATCAGAAACTAG